CCCGGGGTGCGTTTTTAATTAGGGGACGTGCTCGAGTGGGGGTCGTAAGTGTTTTTTTTTTTTCGCCCACCGCCGCCGTGCCCTGGCCGAGTGAATATCTTAAGTCTAGTGTTCCTCCGATCGATACGTGTGTTTTTACGAGGAGCGTGGTGAGAGCGCGTGTTTTCGACGTGTTGTATCGTTGTGCGGGACGCTCCGAGACGTGAGTCATCGGCCGAGCTGTTATCCTTTCCCGCGCTTATCTCGCTCTGCCTCCCCGCGGAAGAAGGGTCAACCGGGGGCCGGGAGGGAAAGAGGGGACCCGAGAGAGTATGAGAGTTCTCCGATCACGTTTGGAGAAGTTCGTCAGCATTTTGCAGGATTTTCCCCCGGGTTCCTGTGAATTGTCCCCGATTTTTATTTACCTCGTCGTCCAGGGAGCGCCAGAAGCGCCGGTCGACCGTTAAATACCCTTAGGCCCGAGACAGGTCCCGAATTGAAAGAGGATCGTTCTTTTCTCGAGGGAGTCGACTTGGCTTTTATTTTTTCGGATTGTATCGGCGTGCCCTCTTTTTGGAAGGGATCCAATGATCTCCCCTGCCTAGCTTCCCCGAAAAATAGTAGCAGTACGTGTTACAACCCCATCCAGTCGTTTGAAGTCAAAGATTGCGTATCTGCCTTATCGGGAAGAGGGATTGCGTCATTGAGTTAAAGTTCGCAGAAAGGATTCCATGACTCGAACTCTCATCCCGTTTCGCCGGAAATGTCTTACAACGCACTAAGAGGTAGACTCAAAAACCTTAAAGATGATGACGGAAGCAAAAAAATCCCTTCTTTGACTTTTCAGTCGATGCGTTGTTTTGCAAAGTTCCCGGAAATAACTTTTGCTCTAATCAACCGTTGAGAATCCCATCAAACGCTGACGTAACCCGGTCTAGGCGCCTTTTGCACCGCAAGTTTTTCCAATTTTACGTTCCTAATTTTGCCTGCCGTCTCGCTGGAAGCTTCCACCGCGCTATTCAAACTTTTTAATGACTCTATACAGGTTTCAATTTGCGTACAATTAGGTTTCGCCTCGTCGTTCGGAATAAAGAGGAAGTTAAACAAAGGTGGGAAAATAACCATAGCTTCCTTTCAGGCTTGTTTTTCTATCTTCTTATCGCTTTCTAAGAACTCGGGCCTGCCTTTCATCCCTCCTCCCTTATTGCATCACCGGCCGCCTTTTTTTTTCAACCTCGAGGAGTTTACTCAGACGCTTAGAATTTCGCGGAAAACAGCTCAGCCGATGACTCGCGTTAACCGTCTCGCTTCGTGTTTGTTATAGATCAGTGCGCAAGTCATCAACAATCATTTAAAGCTGAGAAAATTCAACGGAACTAGCAAGTCATCAAAGTTACCATATCACCAAAGTAATCCAGTCATCGATTAAACTTAATCATAGCACATTACCAAGAAAACTACGTGTTTGTTCTAGATCAGTGCGCAAGTCATCAACAATCATTAAGAGTCGAGAAAATTCAACGGAACTAGCAATTCATCAAAGTTACCATATCACCCAAGTAATCTAGTCATCGATAAAACTTAGTCATAGCACATTACCTACTAAGAAAGCTACAGAAAAAGCAAGAATCAAACTCTCGTAGTAACATCTTTCGTTTAAACTGTCTTAGTCTGTATGTAGGTATTGATCAACTATCATGTCACCGACCACAACTTACACGATGAGAGGCCACGATTCGCACGGAAAGGGAAACGAATAAACTAAAAATGGGTGAGGACCCTAGTTTTTGAATGAGCGGGTCGATCCGATAGTGGAAACATGAAGCACCGGCTGTCGATGCTGAGTAATTTCTTCTACCACCTGCGCAAGCGCTTAAAGAACAAAGCGAAGCGGAACAAATACGACGTGTTGAGGTAATCAAGAAGAAGAAAGGACGATGCACAAGTTCGCGGAGCAACTCTTGAACCGGCTCAACGAGCTGGAGGAGCTGGAAGCGCTCAAAGACCAGGCCTTCCAAGACGACGCCCCCGCCGACGACGCCGAGGGTGAGAGCTCGAAAGGGGACCAAGACCAGGAGCCCTCCCGCACGCGGAAGTTCTTCCTGGACCCGATCCGACGCTGGAACTCGTTCCACAACTCCCGCGAGCGGAAGCAGAAGAAGTGCCCGAACAACCTGCCCTACCTCCAGGCCCTGACCCAGCTGCGGAACCAGCAGGAGAAGGGCATCAACCCGAAGGCCTACTCCTCGAAGAGCTTCAAGGACAAGCTCGTGCAGAGCCAGCCGTGCTCGCCCAAGTTCAGCAAGCCGATGGTGATGCCGATCCGGGTGGCCGCCCGCACGGCGACGCTGTCCCTGACGAAGCTGGACCGGCTCTCGGGGATCTCCCTGTCGGCCCGGCTCCAGGCGGTGACGAACAAGAAGTCGCGGCGGACCTCGTCCGACTCGTGCTACGAGACGGAGTCGCGGCTCGCCCACCACGACAAGGCCCTCTCGACGAGCAACCCGGAGGACGTGGCCAAGGGGGCCAAGGACGGCGAGCGGACGATCGAGACGCAGAAGTCCGTCTCGGACGAGTCGGAGCTGGCCGGGAGCGCCCGGAGCAGCGGGCTCGGCATCGGCGGCGGGGCCTCCGAGGTGGGTCTGGGCCTCGGCCTGGGCCTCAGCGCCGGGTCGTCGTCGGGCAAGGAGGCCCACGAGAAGGGCCACGACAAAGGCAAGAGGATGCGCACCAACTCGATGCCCGTCACCGAGTGGGCGGTCAAGCCCTGCAAGACGGCCCCGCGCATCATGGAGCTCCGCGTCGAGGATGCCATCAGCACGCCCAGTCGAAGGTACGCTCTTGGATTTTTTTCTCCAGGCCTCTCGTATACCGAGGTTTGCATGCTCGTGTTGTGTCATTTTTGTCATCGTTGGTCTTGGCCTGGAAGATGACAGTTGAAATAAACATGTGTGGTGTCCGGAATGTAGAAAACTTGTCTACTGTTGGGTTTCATTAATTGGACTACATCTTGCAATTTGGAACTATAAATTCTGGCTCATCTGAAAAAATACTTATATGCATAGGGAAACTAATGGCACATACGTTGTTTTCATACCGGGCCGGAATTTATAGTTCCTAATTGCAAAATGCAGTCCAATTAACGCAAACTTTTTTTTGAAAATCAGGGAATTTGTCATGGATTGAGTGTTAAAATCGGGAACTTCTTGTCGATTCGCCCCATGAAGTATAGATTTTAAGGTTGCTGATCTGCTTTGACTCGCCCGCAAATAATTGAATAAAAATATGAACAATTATTATCATGAATTAAAGTATAAATAAAGTATTTTTCTCTCTGAATTCTGGAGGAAACCATAGGTGTCGGAGTGTTCTGTTCCCCCCTTTAAATCAGAGGAAATCAAAGAAAAATAGGAAATATCAGAGATTGAGAAAAAACAATAATTCCAAGACATCTAGAACCGAAAGAAGCTGAGATGGAAGGCGTCTTTTGGGGATTTTTGGGATGGAAAGGAGCCTGAAATTTATACAGTTTCTAGCATCAGATTCACCGCCGTAACAAGGTAGATTTTACCTCCCCTAAAGTAAAGAAAGGAGGTCGCCCCCAAAAGTTAAGGGGAAATGTTTCGCCCTTTTGCCTTTCATCGCCCACGTTCGATTCGGCACTCGTTTGGCACCTCTGTGCTTTCCCTCCCCTGTAAGTGTCTGGTGTAACTTATAGCCGACCTCTAAGGAGTTATTTCAGGAAAAAATATGAATATGGCCCCATCGGAGCCGCCTCAGGTAACGCTGGATATGAATACACTCCTCGACCTCTTAAAAATGTTACCCAAGCCTTTTCGAGGGACTGAAAGGCTGGAGGAGCGTACTCGCTAAGCTGCCAACGGAAAGCGATCGCTCACCCACTCTTTATAATTTAATGTATTTACGCTCCGTTTCAGGCATTTCAGAGCCGGGGAGCGTTTTAAATTACTGTGTGAAACGTTGAAATGTAACGTTGATGGCTCGTCGAGCGGCCGGAGCCACTTCTCCGAAGCCGTGCCCGGGCCGAGACGAGTGTAGTTAGCGTCGGAGTAAATGAGTAAACAAGACGGCGGAGCAGTGAATGAAAGGATAAATAAGAGTAAATGAGTAACAATGAATGAATAAATAAACGGGTCGGCGGGGATGCACAAGGGCCTTCCGTGGATTTACGACTGTCATTTACAGAAGGAGCGGTCGCTCCGCTGCATCTATTGGGATCTAGCGCCGCGACGGGTAGGCAATCGGCTCCGCACGAATAAACCTGTCCTTCCGCGCGTATGAACTTAATCGCGATGCGGTAATGTCGCCCTTGTGCAACATGTAGCGTGCCCCGCCGTTGCGGGGGAAAAACACGGGTGAATTATTGCCGATCCGGCGGCAAGCGTATCGGTGGTGACTTTCGAAGGAAAAACACGGATGGCTGTCCATCGTTGTTGCCTCAAGTGCGCCAAGTTCCAGTAGTTCGTTTTCCTGGCTAACAATGTGCTTCGTTGTAGTTAATGATACATAAACGTACTGTCTATTGGAACTTGGTCCATCGGGTCTAAAGTCACTTGATCTATCAACTATCGATTAATATCAGTGGCATAATTTGAGAAGGGTGTGTAGGGGAAGCCGAGTTCCCTCTCCCTCCTGAATTTTAAAATGTATCTTTTTTGCGGGCAATTTTAGTTAATTTGGATCAGCTGGAGGACATTATTCGACATTTTTTTAAAGTATACCCCTCTTTTTCTGGCGAAAATTTTGCCCATTAGAAGCTATGGTAAAGAATCGATTAGTAAAGTGTTCGCTGCAAACACCCGCACTGGAAAAAAAAAACACATTGTATCTAGAGTCCGGACTCTTAAAAACATCGACAAGAAAAAATACTCTTGATTCAATCGGATTTTTGCTTAAATCAAGAACCAAGCCTCTTAATTTGAGCGGATTTCCTTTTGATCTAAGCAAAAATCTGATTGAATCAAGAGTAATTTTTCTTGTCAATGTTTTCAAGAGTCTGGACTCTAGATCCAATGTGTTTTTTTTCTAGTGCTGTTTATCGATCCTTTTCCATAGGTTTAAATGGCAGATCAATCGATATATCGCAGAACACGCCACGCCACTGTTGGTGCCCCGCAACTTGAGTGCTCGAGGCGTTTTATCGGTGCAGGATTGTCGCGAGCATGACGCTCTCGTGGTTGCAATGAGATCATAGGCTCGAAGAACGAGCGGGGAGAACTGGGGCACGCGAGGCGATTTCCGATTCGGATTGAACGGGAGAACAACTGCGCTGCCGAGGAAAAACGTCGTATGAACATTCAAGAGTTGCCAAATTTCCTCACAGAAAATATTCATTTCCGAAGGAAGTCATGAATATTTTTCCGAAAAATTTTCAGACTTTTTAGATCTAATTAAGAATTAAATACTCTGAAAAGTCCGAAGAGGAATATCCACAAATTTTCCTGAAAATTCATGATTTGTCGAAAGAAGTTTTGCAACGCCGGACGGCTTATACGGCGTTTTTCCCCAGCACGGCAGTGCGGATGTCAACCCGCTCCGCGATTGTCTCTGCACGATATGAGCCGCGCTCTAATGAGTCACACGCGGTCGGTGATCGCCGGCCTGTGAGTCCGGTCTCGTTGCGCCGGAAAATGCACCGGCCGCAATTTCAGGGAGTTTAAATTTTCAAACAAATCCGTACGAACGAACCGATTTCGCTCATCGCAAATCCCGTACGTTTTGAGCAGAGTTGCCACAGTTAGGGAAAACCGGGAAATGTCAGGGAATTTCAAAAAGTCAGGGAAAACCGGGAAATGTCAGGGAAAATGACGAAAATGTCAGGGAAAATTTGTTAAATCACCTCAATTTGCTTTTTAGAATGGGGTTGAGATTTTGAACAAGAAATTTTGCCTGAAAACTATCTTCAATTATGCCTGCTTAACCATCCACCACATCTTCAATTTATTGATTGTCAGGGAATTTCACCAAAGTGTGTCAGGGAAATGAGGAAAATGTCAGGGAATTTCATTTTCTAAATTCTCTGGCAACCGTGTTTGAGATGTAGTGCCGTCGAAAACTATTCTCGGGATATGATGTTAATTTTTAATCAGTTCCTTTTGCCTTCAAGTGCTTAATACATTGATGGAACGTGTCAGAAAATCAGGAATATTTTATTTAACTCTATTTTTCTTTGTTAGGCTTCCCTTAAACCACGGTGGTCCCATTTTTGTCCTCTGTAAAAGCATTACCTCCCTTTAAAGGAAGCCTCCGCGACGGGTGGATCACAACGCAGAGATACAACTATTCGTGCTTGATGGATATCCATGTTGCATGAGCACAATTGAAGGCGCGATGACGTGACGTGAGGCGTGAACACGCAATAATCCGCTCTATGCTGTCAGTGAGGTGTCGTTCGGACACAGGAGAAACCGAATTACGTCTTTTTTTACATAGTTTGTGCTGCTCGCATATCGCTTGAATCACCACAATAAAATCAGACGAACAGAACCAACACAACAGAGAAATAGTGCAAGGGAACGGTAGGCGCAGAGATACATCTATTCGTACTTGATGGATGTCCGTGTTGCGTCTGCAAATTTGAAGGCGCGAGGCGTGAAGCCGTGAACTCGCAACGCTCCGCTCTGTGTTGCTTGGAAAGTGTCGCCACCATAGGAGCAGCCAGAGGAAATTTTAGAATCGCTGATTTAAGAGACCGAAGGAGAGGAATTCTAAGGTCTTCAACTTCCAGCCACAGTATCACAAGCGCCATGCGACGTTTCAAAATTTCCGCCGCCATTTTATTTTTGTACAGAGAAATGTTGGTTGAATCCGCTTGAAAATTTCACTTAATTTTATCAACAGCACAAAGAAAATTCAGTGAAATTTTCGGACAGCTTCGTTGAACAATTTCTCTGTAAAAAATTAAAATGGCTGCGGGATTTTGAAACGCCGCATGGCGCTTGTGATAATTTGGCCGGAAAGTGACGACGTGTGCACTACGATCGTAAAAATTGCGGTCGGACAAAGAAAAGCTGTTATTCTTAGTCACTTTGTGCGTATCAACCACCAAAAGAGCGCTGGAAAAAAAACACATTGGATCTAGAGTCCAAACTCTTAAAAACATCGACAAAAAAAATTCTCTTGATTTAATTAGAATGTAGCTTAAATCATAAGAACCAAGCCTCTTAATTTGAGCGGATTTCCTTTTGAGACAAGCTTAAATCTGATTGAATCAAGAGTCCTTTTTCTTGTCAATGTTTTCAAGAGTCTGGACTCTAGATCCAATGTGTTTTTTTTTCCAGTGTGAGAAAAAAGCGCAACTAACCCATTCGCGTGAAAAATAGGAACAAATAATAGGATGTTTCCTTTACTCGGCAACACAGCCATGGATCAGTTTGCCGAAGCGATCTTCGTAAAATTCGAGCGTTCAACGGGCAATTCGAGTCATTTGATCGGCAAACGTCGTAAACCCCAACCCCAACCCTCCACCCCTCACTCGATTCTTCCCACGCCGATTTTCAACGGTACAAAGACCGCGATTTTCACTTGCTCAGCGCTGCGCTCCTCTCCCGCGCTGAAATTTCCGTACCGGTGAATCCGGGAAAAAGGCTAAAAATATTTCAGCGTAATTGAGTCCCCGCGGAGGGAGTGCTTTGCTCCTCCCGGGCTCTGAACGGAGATCAAAGGACCACTTGGGCACTTGGACCGGTGAGCGGGAGGAGTTGCCAGACTTGACGAGAAAAACCCTTAATTCCAGACCATCCTGGTGAGATAAACCACGATGTGGCAAGGCCTGCGACTTGCTCGAGGGGCTAAATTAGATCAGCCTTGATT